GAGACTCGAGTCACAGAGCCCCCTTCCCGATTCCTCAGCCGAGCTATGTTGAATTGACGAGGTTTCTCAGCCGAGCAGCTGACTGCGAAATCTGGATTGCCGAGCTCCGATTATAGTTTCTTGGCCGATTCGTAATTAAAATATCCGAATCGTCGAGCTCTCTTCATGGTTTTTAAGCCGAGCAAATTGCCTCTTCACGTCGACCGAGTATCTCACCCACCTTATTAGCCGAGCAAATTGCTTCTTCACGCCGACCGAACAGCTCACCCACCTTATTAGCCGAGAAAATTGCCTTGATAAATTACCGAGCAGATCGCTTACTTTATTAGCCGAGCTCCTTGCCTTGATAAATTACCGAGCCAATTGCTCACTCTGTTAGCCGAGCTCCCTGCCTTGATAAATTACCGAGCAGCTCGCACAATTTGTTAGCGAGCTCGTTACCTTAATAAATCACCGAGCCGATCGCTCACTTTGTTAGCCGAGCTCTATTCACAGTGACTTAACCGAGCTATGATTTCAAATATCCAGATTTTCGAAGTTCAATCGCAATTCCTCCACCGAACTGCCGAGCTCCCATCGCAGTTCCTTACCCAAAATTGAGGAGCCCTCTTATGGCGTCTTATCCGAGCAACATTTTCGAATTGCCCAGATTTCTTAACCCTAGTACTGCTTGGTGAAAAGCTCGTCTTTGTGCTATACTCAAAGTATGGATAACTCATTTTGCATTTTCAGATATTTTTTACAACAACTCATCTTGTGCCAAAAGACTGATTTTATTTATTTATTTATTTATTTGGGTTCTTAAGAAATTTAGCAGTTTTTGATGATTTGTTATGGTATTCTTTTCCTTCGTTTATTTTGTTCGATTATCTGCTATGCTTGCGTGGGATTTTTTAGTTCTTACACATTGACACGGTTGTTGTATTCGGAGCACATGAAGGATATGAGCTGGTCATAATATATTGAGATTCGAATAAATTGGAGAAAAAAAACATGTAACCCACCCTTTCATGTTAAAATTGTGGTTTATATAATTACACAATCCCACCCATGTCTGTGTGTATATATGTGACAAATTTGTGGTGTGATGAATGTTGGTTTATATTTATTATTGGTTTTCATTGCAAATGGGACATGTTTGAGTTTTCTGAGATTTGTGTGTAAGCTCTTCCCATTTTTCTTGTTTTATCTTTGCTTTTTCCTGGTATTTCTATGAAAAAGACAGAATCTTGGATTGTGTATGTGTTTGGGTGTGTGTGCGCTGAGTAGAAATTTTTTAAGTTCAGTTGGGATTGTTAAGGTCTTTCATATAGTAATTTATATAAAATGATTCTATATCGAGACTGACCTTCGACGGGAGCTTCTGAAATGTTTGCATCCTCAAGGATGTCACAGTCTATTCTTGTCACGGATCGAATAATCAAAGAACAAGGGTAGCCCAAAAAAAAAAAAGAAAACCGGTTGCGCCCCATGTCCGTCCTCTTCACGAATCTCCTGGTAAGGGTTTTACTTGCTGTATTTATACAAAGTGTTGGTAAGTGTTTGTCGTTTTCATTTTTCGAGTAGTAATGGGGCCCATTTACGAAATCAATTCGTTTATATTCATTGGCCGAACCCCACAACCTTGTGCAACTGATATTCTTGCTTTGCTTTGATATCCAAACAGTTAACTACAAAGCTTACACCTGGGAAATTTCCTTTGATTATAGTTTGTATGCAATTATTATTTTACCCCTACCAACTTCTCCCGGTAAGGGTTTTTTATGGTTTCATTTTTCCGAGTGGTAATTTTGCATTATTATTTATGCTAATGTAGAACACCATGTTTTAATTGGTGCTTTATTTGGTGAAATTTGTGTTTAAACGAACCCCCTTTTTCCCATGAAATCATAGTAGGGGTCCATCAACTCCGAATTACGTGAGATTTGTTAAGTTATAAGAGAAAATTGTACTGAAATATTTCCGTGTGCAAACATCTCAAATTGCATACGCCATTATAGTATTATTGTATAAAATTGCATTATAATAGCGTGGTTGCTCTCGCCTCAATTTAGTTCATTTCATTTATTGTGCTGGAATAAAAGTGTTTGGATTAGCCATGCAGACTGATGTTTCCTGCTGCAAATGGCCTTACATGTTTTTTATATAATTTCATTTCCTATGTAGGATGTGTATTTTTTTTGTTTTTTATGATTATGTTTATATAAAAGGTAATGAGTTGAATTTTGCTAAATTAGACATAGGATCAGACACTCTTATTTTCATAACTTATGAATTTGTTTGTCATTATTGCCATATATTAATTTGTCATTATCTATTGAAATTATTTTCTGGAGAATCTCAATGGAATGTTATGCTGCTTTTATAATTTCTTAGGTCGATGTAATAGAATCTCAATGGAATGATTTGCTTTTCACTCCTCTGGCTGCCTTTATATTTTCTTCTTCTTTTTAACTTAGTTTAGCCATTTGCGCTTAAAAATAGTTGCTAACCTCTCTTACTAGAGATGTTATGGAATAAAAGAAAGAAACCTGTGGTAAAGAGGATGTAACATTGGTCGATATTTATATATAAAGGATCAGAATAATGTAGTCTCAATCAAAGCAAACGAGTCCATACGCCGCTGCCTTTGAATAGGGTAAATCGTACTAAAGCAGTGTACCGTTTTTCGTATTTAATGCACAAAAATTGTTTGCGGATGTTAATGGATAGAAAAAGGTTATTAGAAGCATCAAAACTGTGTTTTTAGTCATAACGTGCGTGTGTTTGTTACCAGTTATTTTCATGAAATGTGGAGTATATTGTACTTAATTTTTATGCAAAGATTGGATCTTTTTCTTTCTCCTGCATCTTTATATTCTTCAGGGCCGTATAATTTTTCTGAGTTGCCATCGATTTCTGTCGTTTTATTTTTATTTAACTATGTTTGGTACAGATAATCTGATCATAACGTTATGGAAGTTGGTGTGTGTAACATTGCCAAAAGTTCATTATATATAAGTTGGGAATAAAGTAGCCTCAATCAAAGCAAACGAGTTCATACCCCGCTGCCTTTGAATATGTTAAATACTACTCAGGCGATAAAGGAGCACGCTTTCACCAGAAGAAGCTTCAGCTGCTGTGTGACATAACCGGCGCATTCAGGCCGGGCGTGCTCACGGCACTCATCGACGTGAGTCGGAAA